CCAAGCCGCTCCCCCTACCAGGCTGAGGTGGGCGTGGCGCGGCGGGGGAGGGTCGTGGGGTGGGGTGGGTAGTGGGGGGTGGGGGGTGCACTGCCGGCCTCACCTCTCCTGCAAGCGGCGGTGCTCCTCGGAGAGGCGGGTCAGCTGCAGCTGTAGCCGAGCCTTGTCGTTCGCCGTGCGGTCCAGCAGCTGCCGGGCCCCGCTCAGCTCAGCCTGGTAGAGGGAGCGGCTGGTGCGGTAACCGGAGCTGTGTGCCTCCTGCTGCTCGCTCAGCCTGGCCAGCAGCGCCTGGTTCTCGCCCTCCAGGCAGCGGATCCGCTCGATGTAGGCGGCCAACCGGTCATTGAGCTGCCGCAGCTCCTCCTTCTCCTGTAGCCGGCTCAGGCGCAGCGGGCTCGGCTTAACCAGGGGGCTCGATCCCTTAGCGGAGCCCGGCCGCTGCTGTTGCTGGCTGGAGGCTCTCAGAGCCATTCCCTTTCCCCAGAGGTCGCCAGTCACCTGTACCACCCAAAACCCGGCTACATTAAAAAAACCTCACTCAAACATCCTTAACTCTGGCTAAGAATAAAATCATAGCACTGCCATCAAAAGCCATCATTGCACCGAATCTCTCACCAGGACCAGTTTTCTTCCTTAGACCAAGGGGAAGGGAGTGAGAGGTCATTGGGTAGGTTTTATATTGTGTCACATGGCTTTATTTAAAAAGGTCTTTATTTAGCCTGGGGCTTTTTTTTTCAGACCGTTTAGCAAACGTTTTAAAGTTTCGATTCAAAAGGTTTTTGCCACCGGTTTAAAGCTTTCGGGCCGACCCTGTGTTGGACCGAAGCTGCGTATTTCTGGTCGCAAAGGAGGAAAACTCCGACTCATCCCAGTCACGTTCTGCGCACTCCCGGATCAAACGTAGAAGGAGCTGCTTGTTGCAGTTTTATCAAGTTCAACAGATCGTGGGCTCCTTCAGAAGGGCGAAATTGAGTTAGACTATTATGAAAATTCAACCACAAATTTTCTAATCCAGAGATGTTACGACACACCTCAGAAATGGGTGGGTTTTGAACCTAGGCCTGTTTGCTCGGAGATAGCACACCACCGCTGCAGCCCATACAACGGAATAATATCCTTTCTGTCAGCTGTAGTTCCTATGGTGCCCACAACTTGTAGAGGACCTTAAATAGACAGATACTCCTTCTATCTTGCTCTGCGGAAGTGTAGGCAATGCACTTGGTTGCAGTCAGAAAAACCAGATTTTGCTTTTAAGATTTTAAATGTGCTTCTAAATCTTAAATAGGATGCAATTATCACTTGATTAGAATCTTCATATTAATTCCACTGCACTTCTTTCAAATAGTGTCCTGCGATTTTTCACATCACCTGAGATTGAAGGTAGGGCCTCAGTTAACATCTGCAGCTGGAAGACCACTTTTTGGCAATGTGAGACTTATTCAACGCTGGTGGTGCAGTGGCCGAGTCCCTATCTCTGAGCCAGGAGATCTGTGTTCAAGTCCCATCTGTTCCAGAGGTGTGTGATAGCATCTCTTAACATACTGATTAGAAAACAGGACTCTTTGGGACAATGTCAGGCTTGTTGTTTTTGTGGATGAGGACTTGAAATATTAATCGTGGCAATGGGCTAAATGCTGAAAAGTGGGATTACTATGGATAGGTGGTGCATTCTTTTTGTTGGTGCATACTAAAGGGCGTGACTATGACTACTTAAAACCCTGCAGTAAGACTTGAACCCACCTTCTGACTTAGGTAAGTGTGCTAGCACAATTAAAAACAAAATACTGTGGATGCAAGAAATCTGCAATAAAAGCGGAAAAAGCTAGAGTATCTCTGGAGAGAGAAGCAGAGTTAATGTTTCTAGTCCAGTATGATTCTTTATTGAAACTCTGTGCTAGCAAGTCAGCCACAGCACAGTTCCAAGCAAATGATTTTCTTCAGTTATTGAATGTGCCTGATGATGCACTTGTACTTCTGAGGTGGAAAGCTGAAACTTTTTGTGCCAATGTTAAATCCAGAGTGAAAGCTTAAACTTGCTGAAGTGAAGCAGTGAAGTCCCTTCTTCAGGGAGTATCACTCTGCTTCTTTTCAGTGTTACCTCAGGCTCTGACACCGATTTCCGGCTTCATTTACACTCTAATTGCAGGGTTGGTGCAAAATGTATTTGCTTAACGTTGTAGTCTAAACAGACTTTCAGTTTCAGCTCCCGGATGTTCTTACCTATCAAAAATCACAGCATTTGAAGTTTCCATTTATGTCAGCATTCACATTCTAATGATTAATGACCAACTGCTCAGGTATTTTCAGTCATTAACAATCCCACTAGTGCAAGGCCTTTCCTGTAGGTTTGCATATATGTGTATAAAACTCTGGCACCTCCAATTTCATGTTATTGAGTTTGATGGGCTGAATGGCTTTACCCTAATCAATGCTCATGTATCTTTTATAAGACACCAGCCTGGCTATGCTGTGAAACCAATATATCAGGCATCAGAGATAAATCCAACAGCAATGCTGTATCTGAAGGTGTAGGGAGGTGAAGGAATTGCTTAACTCAATTCGCTTTATAACTCGAGTGTGGTGCACAATCAAACTGACAGCATGGGTTTAATCTCTTGTGTTAGCTCATGAAGGGCTACATCTTCAACTTACCTCATTGCTGGTGGAGTGGCCACCCTTGAACTATACACAACTGGTTGTCTGGCCCTTATCATTCCTACAATCCTTTTATCACTCATGGGATGTGGGTGTTGTTGGCTGGACCTGCACTTATTGCTCATCCTCAGCTGTGGATGTGGTGGTGACAAGCTGCCCTCTTGAACCACTACAGTCCATGTGCTGTAGGTGGACCCACAATGCTGTTTGGGAGGGTGTTCCAACATTTTGACCAAATGACACTGAATGAATGGCAATATATTTCTAAGGATGGTGTGCGGCTTGTCAATGGTAATACCAGGATGTTGATGGTAACTATCATTGAATGTCAAGGGCCAATGGTTAGATTCTCTCTTGTTGGAAATGGTTATTGCCTGGCACTTGTGAGCATGAATACACCTATCAGCCCGAGCCTGAAAATTTTCCAGGTCATATTGCATTTGGACATGGCCTGTTTCAGAATCTGAGGAGTTGTGAACGATGCTGAACACTGCACAAGCAACAGCGAATACTACTATTTCTGATCTTATGATGGAGGGAAGGCCATTGATGAAACATCTGAAGTTGGTTGTGTCTAGAACAGTATCCCGAGAAACTCTGCAGAGATGTCCTGGAGCTGAGATGACTGACCTCTGTTATGGACCAGACCAGACCCCCTCAAATATTTTAAGAAGGTAGCCTAGGACCTAACATTTTGTTATCATATTTTCTTTTTCTTATTTTAAAGGGAAATGTAATATGCTATGTTCCAGATGCAATTTGACTGGTCAAACTACTCAGTGTTAAGCAAAACACCATTTGTTCAACACTATAGTTAAAATACAACAAAAGAAAGAAGATCTTAAATAACTTAACTCCATTGGAAAGATTTAATTGAATAATAGATACAGTAACTATTACTAATGAACTATTCCAATATAGTAATGTCCCACAGACACACCCCTTGGGCAAAAAGGCAAATTCAGAAATCAGATTTTCTCACATGCAATGTCTGCAGTATGAAGAGAAACGCCAGCTTATAGCTATAATCGAGAGAGGGGAAAAGATAGCTTCTACTTCTTAAAACTCCAGCAGCTTTTGCTGAACCTAAAAGCCAAAGAAAAAATCTAGAAATCCTGGTTTGTGAGAGCTGTGATGGCCACATCCATCCAGACTGTTCTATAGTTCCAACTTTTTAAAAAAGCCCAATGCTTCACAAGCTGTTATGTTACCTCAGACAGCTTGCACCTCTTGTTCAATCTCTCCCTTAAAAGGAACCAGAACAAAATACACTTCTTAAAGCCACAGCATTATCACACCTCCAACAATGACAACCATCTTCCTATTGCCAGGTATGACTCCAACCAGCGGAGAGTTTGCCCCCGATTCCCATTGACTGTAGTTTTGCTAGGGCTTCTTGATGCTGCACTTGGTCAAATACAGTCATTTTCCCTCTTGTTGGTTCCCTCATAACCTACCACAGACCTAGTCTAGCAGCTACGTCCTTTAGAACTTGACCAGTTCAATGAGTAGTGGTGCTGCTGAGCCACTCTTGGTGATCAGCATTGAAAACCACACTCAGACTATGTTCTATGTCCTACAATCTTCTGTGCTTCCTCCAAGTGGTGTTCAACAAGCAAGTCCTTTCCCAGAACACTAGTTGACCCACTGCAGGTGCCCATCTTTTGAATTTCTTCTCATAGCTGGATGGAAAGGAAAATCTGGAACTCTATTCCATGAAGAATCTGTTTATGTTAAGTATATTGAGCATGCTATAACTGAGATTGACTGATTTTTATTAAACAAAGTTGTTCAAAGATCTGATAATAAGGGCAGTAATTAGGGTTAAGCATCGCTGAAAGGAGTCGTAGTTAATATTTTCTGTTGTGCCCATCAGCACTAGAATACAAGAAACAGACTTGAATAAAGGGATACTGATTCTACTAAACAGTATGAGAAAATGACGCTGATTAGTTGGGCCACCAGTGGCATGGAAATGCAGCAGGAACAAATCATTGTTAATTTTAAGTCTCAGACGAAGCGGGTAGACTGATTGGTCAGGGTGTCATCATAGAAATTCAGCAGTGGTTGTCAGTCTCCATGACCCCTTTGTTTTTCGTGAGAAAGGCACAATGCGTACAAATTGTTTTTGCCTTTCGGTCCTGAGCATAAATACATGTAGCCTCTACCACATGCAATTGCACCACACTTCAAGACTGATGGGTTTCCAGTGTAAGTTGGGTGGCACACCAATCCTGCTAAACAGCCTGTACTTGCCTCAGAAGAGTACATCCACCATTAGCTGTTATTCTGCTTTTGAAAATCATGTGATAAATAACCTGGATTGTGCTAAACTGCTTTACTGTTGTTGGAGCTGAACTCATTCAAGGAAGTGCAGAATGTTCCAACACCCTCCGGACTGATGTCTCAGATGATGGACAGGTTTTGTGGAGACAGGAGCTGGGTTACTTGCAGGGGAATTTCTAGCCTCTGAACTGCTCTTGAAACCACAGTATTGTATGGCTGGTGCAGTTCAGTTTCTGGTGATTGGTAGTTCATAGGAAGTTGACAGTGGGGTATTCAGTAAAGGTAATGTCATTGAATGTAAAGGGACTATGATTAGACTCTCTCTTATTGGAGATGGATTTGCCTGGCACTTATGTGACCTGAATATTACTTGCCACTTACCAGTTATCAAACCCACAGTTGTCTGGGCTACATATAGACATGAACTACTTCTGTATCTAAGGAATCGCCAGTGATGTGGAACATTGTGCACCTCTACCTAAACTGTGCACTTAATTTGCAAGGAGCAGGTGGAGGTATTACTTCTCCTTTGGTTAATCTTTGAATGTAGGCTACATGCACTTGATCTTTGTCTGTAACCTCTGCAACCAGACCTGGATGGGATCAGGCTCAAGTGTGATACTAATATAGATTCCTGACATTCATTTGCCACTCTTGAGCATGGCCATCATCAAAAGACGATTGAGTGTAGCAACAGGGGTCATGATTTGTGAGAGATGAAGAGTGAGGGGGAAAGTTTTCAAGGGAATAAATACGTTTGAAAATGATTAAAATATTTAATTATGGTCAAGCAAGTACAGCTGTATTTTTGAATCTTACTCCAGATGTAATCCCTTTAGCTAAATATTCCAAGCTGTCAACATTTGTGGCCTGTCCATTTAAAGATGATGGGACACATATTTTTCTTTCCTTAATTCTCAGTCTGGAGGCTGGGGTGGTTAACTCACATCCTCACAGCTGATTGACAGAATGAAATGTAAGCAAATACAATAAAGTTTACTTAACTGTAGCTCAGTAATTAAACGGAATTTGACATGCAAAAAAAAATTTCCAGGTGGGTTTATTTTGAGAAGAACTTGGTTAATACTCTAGAGTCATGCATCTTTAAATGTGTGGCAAGAACAAGTACTCAGACAGCTGAACCTTTGCAACACCAGGAAATTAATTGCTTAGCCGTTCTTTAAGTGTCACTAGTTCAAAATCCTGGAACTGCCATGGGT